GCGTGTCAGATAATGTTTTCCAATATTAATAAGCCTAGTACGTTTACAAAATGTAGAATTTTAGGTTTTTTTTCATTATTGAAACATTAAAGTAAGATCTATGAAAAAAAAGGTCAAGTGTTTTCTTTTCCCCAAATCAGGCCATTTATGTATCAGACTGTACATAAAAGATGGACATTCCCCGTGTTGATGTCCTTGTTTTGTTTTTTGTTTGGATTTTCTTTTTGAAGTCTTGAGTATTGTCTTTTCGTGTCTTAACCTTTTTTGTTTTTTATTCAGTTAGTTTGGACATTGAAAGATTAGGTTTTGCTATTAGAAAGGTGCATTTCCTGTCAACAGTGATGTTAATTGGTTCTCCATTAGTGAAAAACAGGCCTAAAACAAAATGTACTTGCTTGCATCTGACTGAGAGACCAAAGAGACTGCAAATGTCTCTCCCAGCTCCCAGATGATGTAAGTTTAGGGATTCTGAAGCTATTTGAATCTCACAATCACTGCAGCAGATCTTGTGTTGATGACTTTTCCCCTTAGAACCCATAAGAACAGTGTTTCCTGTAGCATTTCCTTCAATGGCCACAGTTGAGTTGAGTTATCATTGGGAACTGCAAAAGAATCACTTCATGTTGTATCCCAATGACTGTGTGCTGTTTTGCGTAGGTACCAGCATGCTGTGGCTAACCCTGGCCTCATCACCTTCACGGGGCCGTACCTGGATGTGGGCGGGGCCGGATACGTTGTCACAATCAGCCACACCATCCATGCCTCCAGGTGGGAGCACTGGTTATGTTTGGGTTTTTTTTGTTTGTTTGTTTGTTTTCAGGGGTGTGGGTGGGTGGGGGGTTAAACGCAGAATGTGTTATATTTTACTGCACCAGAGCAAAAGTCAAGTAAAAATTGCCAGCTCTTTTTATTAGATATTGGAGAGCAGACTCACTGTTGGTATGAGTCAGAACAATCATTGTGGGCAGCTAGGCTCTCGGCCCAGAAGTCAGCTTAGCCAGACTGCACTATCTCTGAAGGCAGGAAGTAATCTGAGGGAAACTTAAGGAGCCCATTGACCATTCTGTGCTATAGGGTTGTTTTCCAAGTGAGATGACATCCTGTAACCAAATGGTCTGGGCTTAGTCACAATTGTCTTCAAGTGTCTTTTCTTTCAGAGTGCCCTCAGCCAAGTCAGCATAGTGCAACCAACTTCTGGTGGTACAAAAAAAGGAAAAACCAAATAATATATCGAGTGTTCCACCATTTCCTTTGGCCAGTTATCACAGAACTGACTGCAGAATATTTTGTAGAATCAGGCCTAGGCTTAGAGACTTCAAAGGGCTGCAGCGGTGGTTGAACTCAAAGTATTTGTTTCGAGTTCAGTGAGCTTCAAATGCAAATCACCGCGATAGCCACGGTGCCGCTTGCAGCAGTAAAAGAGCTGTTTACCACAGTCCGTGCAAGTGTTTAGCATACACAAACATTCCTCGTCAGTGTGTGCGAGATAAGGCCGGATTAGTGCTGTTGTACTCTCGCCTCAGTAAGCATAATATACAGTCTACAGTAAACACTGATTTCAGGAGATCAAGCAGTGCGTTATGTTTTTTTCTTGTTTTGTGTGTTTAAAAGGTCTATAGAAAAGTAGGGATCCTTAGTAGGAAGCCAAGTATCCTGAAGACGGACTTTTTCCAGATTTTGTTTTCCCTTTCCACAGAATTTCAAACCCCACTAAATACCTTTTTTCTCTGTGTATTTTTGTCTATTCGTAGCTCTCAAATGGCACCTGGCTACGCTGTTGCAGTGATGGGTATAGACTTCACCCTTCGCTACTTCTACAAGGTCCTCCTGGACCTGGTGCCCATCTGCAACCAGGACAAAGGCAATAAGATCAGGTAAAAAGAGGATGGATTGTGCGGCTCCCTTCTTTTCTCTTCTCTATGCAAGTTTTTCCTTTCTCTTTTCAGTGTCAGTTTCTGTGTCAGGGAGCTAAATTTCTGTTCGGCTGAGCAAGAATTAAACTCGCCGGCTGTGCGTGAAGAATAAAGAAAGCCAGAGGAAGACATAAGCTGATTATCACAACATTCCTGCTGGAGTTGTAGTGTTGCTCCTGCCTCTGTTCTACATACTTTCCCCAGCTTTTATGTCTGTTCTTTTCTTCATCTATCTACTTCCACACCTGCCTCCCCCACCAACCCTCACTTCTTTGTTCTGTCTTTCTCCACTTTCTCTTGCTTCTTCTGTCATGCTCACTCTGTTGGTGTTTATGGGTCATAAAAAACAGGATCAGCCCCTGGAACCAAGAGGGCATGATTTGGAAAAACACACAACGGACAGTGGGGAGAAGAACAGAGCTGTGTTATATAGACTAGGAATACAATATAGAAATAGCAATTAAATGTTTTGAGTGAAAACCTCAGTAATGGCAATGTTCTGACGAAGTACCGACTAAATTGATGAATTCATTAAGTTGATCCTGACTGCCAGTTTTATTCATTTTTATTTTAGGTGCTTCATAATGGAGGACAGAGGGTACCTGGTTGCTCACCCGACTCTCATTGACCCCAAAGGTCATGCCCCAGCAGAGCAACAGCACATCACACACAAGGTAAATGCACAAACACAAGTTAACATGGAAATAGGAATGGATAGAAACCTTTAGGAGCATGATTTTGTCATAATTCTAATGAAATCTATTTTCTTTCCTTTGGTAGGAGCCACTGGTGGCCAATGACATCCTAAACCACCCCAACTTTGTCAAGAAAAACCTCTGCAACAGCTTCAGTGACCGCACAGTCCAGCGCTTCTACAAATTCAACACCAGCATTGTGGTGAGTCGCATAAAAATGTAGCATAACTAGAGGTATGAATGTGTACTTTCATAGCATTCATACTGTAGTAGCAAAAACAGACACTCTCCTCTGGGCCCTGCATAGCAATATGGAAAAATCTTGTAGTGTAACACTGCCATCTTGTGGTCATACGTGCTGTTGCAAACTTCTGTTTGCTATTTGTGACTCTGTTGAGTCTGTGTGTGGTTGGAAATGAAACATTCTGTGCCTTCATCTTGCCCATCCTTACATGGGTAAAAAGCACTTTGAGGCTGGTGTTAGAAACTTCTGCAGCTCTTTCTGTTTCAAAGTTTCTGTTTAGTGTGTGCAGTTTTGAAGTTTCTCTCACCTTTTTTTTTTTTTTTTTAAAGAAGATTAAAAAGTATATTGATTTTCCATGGATTTGTGTAGCGATGTAGAGGTTAGAGTGACCTCTCCAACTCTTTCTCCTTTAGGGGGACCTCACCAACCTGGTCCATGGTAGCCATTGTTCTAAATACCGCCTTACCAGAATCCCCGGCACCAACGCCTTTGCCGGCATTGTGAACGAGACGTGCGACTCCTTGGCGTTCTGTGCCTGCAGCACGGTAGACCGGCTGTGTCTCAACTGCCACAGGTCAGTACCGAATTCTCTTTACCGTTTAGCTCTCTGACACATTAATGCTTTGTTAACATAAAGTAATGCTCCTGTTGAAAAATAAGAATGGGTCTGATTTTGCACGAATCCAACACCCAGAGTTTGACAGTTTGATGCAGCAGTGATGCTGCAGCTTGCACAGGTTCAGGAGTCACACAGTGACTTTTTCAGTCAAGGAATTTGCTTAAAGATTAAGTAAACATTAAGTTTGAATCAAACTGTGAATACAAGTTTCTCACTGATCTGCTGTTTAACTGTTTGCTGTTCAGAATGGAGCAGAATGAGTGCGAGTGTCCCTGTGAGTGCCCTCTGGAGGTCAACGAGTGTACAGGCAACCTCACCAATGCTGAGAACAGGTGGGTACATTGTCTAAAGCACATACACTTTACCCCTTCTGCCTTCAGAACTGCTCATGCCACTACACAACAAGGTTCTGGAAATATTCTGGAAATCTGGAAATATCTTTCAGACATTTTGGTCCATTTGGACATGATGGTATCACATGGTTGATGCAGAATCGTGAATCCCTCGTGCGGCCATATCTGAAAGGGTTAGGAAAGATTGAAATCTTGTGACTGGGAAGCCATTTGTGTACAATAAACTCACTGTCATGTTCAACATGATTTGAGCTTTGTGACATGTTGTGTTGACCTGCTAGAAGTAGCCATTAGACGACTGGTACACTGTAGTCATAAATATGTCTGTGAAGCTTCTCAGTCATCCAGGTTATCGTAGTTTCCAAGTTTTCCAAGATCCTTAGACTGTAGTCATAAAGCGATTTGGTCAGCAACAATATTCAGATAGGGTGTGGAGGATGGATCAAGCATAAATGTCGCAGCAGAAATGGAGACTCCTCAGACCACCAAAGATTTTTCCAACCTTCTGTTGCCCAATCTTGGTGATCATGTGTGAATTGCATCCCCAGCTTCCTGTTCCTAGCTGACAGGAGCTGCACTCAGTGTGGTCTTTTGCTGCTGTAGCCCAACTCAGAGATGCTCTTCTGCATACCTCGGTTGTAACAAGTCCTTATTTGAGTAAACTGTTCCATTCCTACAAGCTTGAAGAAGTCTTCTGGCCATTCTCCTCTGACCTCAACAAGACTTTTTCTCCCAGAGAGCTGCCACTCGCTGGATATTCTCTTTATTTCGGATGATCTCTGTAAACAGAGAGATGGTAGATTAGCCTGTCTGGGACCAAAACCATGTTGCATTCAAAGTCATTTAAACCACCTTTCTTCTCCATCCTGATGCTCAGTTTGACCATCATCGTGACCATGACTACATGGCTAAATCCACTGAATTGCTGTCACATGACTGGCAGATTAGATAGTTGTGTTATACTGCAGTTCAATGGATGTACGTAATGAAGCAGCCGGCGAGTTTACATTACTGCAGGTACATCATACATCTGCGATAATACTGTCCCAAGTTATAATCACCGAAGATGAGCTACAAATGACAGCAGAAAGAAATTACAGCTGACCTCAGCGCTTACAGAATCTGAAAATAATGTCATAGAAAACAGTCAATGGTTTACACAAGATGCCTTTATATGACAGTATTAGGAAAACATGCTTGGCTTGCATACTGAACTACCCAGTGACTGCAGAGCAGTGAGATACCCACCAGAGAGCGTATTAGTCATTCTAGAGGGAGCTATGCCACACTATTTGCAAGGTAGTTGAGAAAATCCTCCCACATCTTATCAGGATTAAGTTCAGTCACTCTTGAGGCCGAACTTGTTTTTTTTATTGGTTCTTAACTTTCAGATGATGCCTCTTTTGTTCTTCTTCTTGGTCAAATAGTGATGCAGCTTGGTGTAAGACATAGCCCTCAGTTCCCTTTATGCCAGAAGTGCTTCAAAACGGTCTTTAAAAGCCCAGATGAAAGTCACACTGCTTTGATCTTAGATTTAAAGGAATGGGACGAAAGGGTTCTTGACTGTAAAATTCATTTCTCCAGCCTTCCTGCTTGCATGTGGTGTTTTAAAGGCCACCTGCTTTCTTCATTTCTAAGTTAAGAGTTCCTGTCATATTTCCCTCAACGTGTTTTGCAGACGTGCACGTGTGACGCTTCAAACTTTTTGAAAGCTTCCTGTGCAAATGTTTGTGGGTGTTTTCTCACTTTTATATCTCTTGCTTTCCTGCTGCATCACTCTGTCTGTTCCAGGTCTTTTCCTTTACTGTTTGAGCCACTCTGCATCCCATCCATCATTCACAGTGCCTCTCACATTTCTCTCCCTTATTACACTCACCTCCTTTCATCAGCCATCAGCAGTCTTTGACAGCATGTCAATGTTTAAAATGCCAATTTCTCCTTTATTTCAGGAAGACGTGCAATTAAATTTTTTTCACTGTCAGTTTTTTTCCCTCTGTATTTGTCTGGCAGCATCGACGTGTCTCTTTAGAGCTGATTGACATGGTGAAGACATTTCTTTGTGTGCTCGTGCTTTGATTTTTATTTTTTTATGATCTTTTTTTCCCCAGTTTAATCATATTTAATGGTAGAATTCGGGTTTATATTGTCTAGTTAATGTAATTGATTTGTGTTTTGACCAAGAAAATGTGTCTTTTTTTTGGTGTATTTTTCTTAGGAATCCCAGCTGCGAGGTGCATCAAGAGCCTGTCAGTCTGAATGTGATTGATCCCAGCCTGCACGACACGCTGCCCCAGTGTATCAACACCCGCTGTAGCCAGAGATACACCAGCAGGTACGTACACCAACTTTGCACATTTGGTACACTTTGACAGGTGTAACAGCACAGTGATAGAGAGCTGATGAATAAATAAAGAGCATTTTAAAATGACATGCTTTTATAATATCACTAATATGCTTATTAATTGTGGTCAAATGTTACTAAAATGAATAAACCAAACATAGACAGCATAGAAAAACACACACAAGGGTGACCAAAGTGCTGAACAATAGAAATATAAGAGACACAATAAGAATAATAAATACGATAAAAATAATAAACATAGCAAAAACAATAAAATATAAGTAAATACAAGTCAGTTAACCACTGAGTCCAAAGCCAGCGAATAAAAATGCATTTTCAATCTGGATTTAAAAACTGATAGGTTTGTAGTGTAAACCTATTCGCTGAAACGTTAAGGACAATTTGCTACACAGCAAAACAAGACACGAGTAGGCAAAGTTCTTCATGTTTCTCGTGCACGGGAGAGAACCGGACAAACGCCGTTCCTTCGCTTGACCCCAGTCGCTCTCGTCTGCTCCCCCATAACACTGCTCTTTTATTGAGGTTACATGAATATACATGGTTCATTAACATATGACGTCTACATACAAACAAAGTGTGTGTGTGTGTGTGTGTGTGTGAGAGAGTGAGTGAGTGAGACTTCCCTAAACCTGCTGGTCTGGAAGTCCAGCAGTTCATCTAAACAAAGGCACTTAGACTAAAACAGATATAGATACGTTTATCCTACCATAAAACAATAAGAGAAGGTACGACCTCTCCCATGCTCCCAGAGTGTGGGTCTTAATGCCAGAGCACTGTGGAATGCACACAACGTCTCTGCAGACTATTAAGGATCACACATCCTATCACTACACAATCGATTATACACCTCTAAGCATAAATGACAATAAACAATACAAAACCTGACAAAAACCAGCACTGATGTCGATTGCCTAATGTGAAGACCGGAGCTGACCGGAGTGAACGAGTGGGGACATAGGGCTTCAGCAAATCAGACAAATATGCAGGTGCCAGGCCATTTAAGGATTTAAAATCCAATAAAAGAACTTTAAAATGAATCCTAAATTCAATTGGAAGCCAGGACCGGAGTAATGTGCTCAAATTTCCTTTTACCAGATAAAAACCGTGCTGCAGCATTCTGTACTAGTTGCAGGCGTGTCAGAGTGCCCATTCCAACCCCTATTAGAAGGTAGTTGCAATAATCCAAGCGTGAGGTTATAAAAGCGTGGATAACAGTCTCCAAATCACGCCTTGAAAGAAACTGTTTAACCTTCGACAGACGCCTGAGTTGATCAAATGATGATTTCACCACCCCATTCACGTGGCCCTCAAAAATAAGTGCAGAGTCGATTTTTAACCCAAGATTGGTAATCGAGCTCTTCAGGTGAGGGGTCAGAGCAGCAAGGTCAACATCAGGGATATCAGAGGAACGATTCGGGCCAAACAGAATAGCTTCCGTTTTACGTTCATTAAAATTGTAAAAGTTTAGAGCCATCCATGACTTAACATCGCTAAAGCAATCAAGCAGGAGTCTAATTGGGGAGCTATCAGAACAACTGAAAGGAAAATAAAAACCATGGTAATAGTGGACATTAGGTTGCAATTTATAGTGCTCAAAAAATTAAAGGAACACTTTTAATAAGAGTTCAGCGTCAAGTCAGTTAAACTTTTAAGTAGCAGAGGGGTTAATAAGTTGTTTTGGTGTTGATACAATAGACAAAAGATTCACTAGAGTGGCAACAAGAGACAACCCCCAAAAGAAGGAATGGCTTTACAGGTGGAAACATCTGACTTGGACAGGGAGTTACTCCAGGAGAGCTGGACAGGGAGGTGGAAGACCTATAACCCTGTGGAAGGCCCTGTGCTCACTGCCCAGCACTGTGGAGCCAGATTGGTGTTTGTCATAGAAAACATGAATTGGCAGGTCCACCACTGGCAACTTGTGAAGAAGAAAAACTGCAGCGAACATTATGATGCTTGTAACATCGTTCAGCATGACTAGTTTGGTGGTGGGTCAGTGATGGTCTGAGGAGGCATATCCATGGAGGGACGCACAGACCTCTACAGGCTAGACAATGACACCCTGACTGCCATTAGGTATCAGAATGAAACCCTAGATTGTCAGACCCTGCACCGGTGTAATTGGTTACATTGTCAGGCATGAATACCAGCACATAAGGGTCAGGCGAACCACAGAGTATCATTTTGAGTTGCTGCGATATCATTTTAGCAAAATGGCCCAGCTTGCTGCATAATTTTCTTCCCCCCAGTAAGATCTGATGTGTTTTTTTTTTGTTTTTGTTGTTTTTTTAAGTGTTCCTTAAATTGTGAGCAGTTTATGTGTAATTATTTGTAATGACACTTTATGTCGTCATCTGTTTTGGAGCATTATGGAGAAACTGCAGTAGTAACGGGTATTGCACCTGGTTTTTACATGATTAAATGACTTTCCAGATAACAGATGAAATGAATAAATTGTAACTTTTGTTTTTATTTCACTTGGAAACAACCGGAAGAATGCTTTTGAGGGCTGTCATATAGTAATTGTCTATTTTTGCCTTTCGAGAAATCTTATTTTGAAGGTAGTCCCCAGTTTGATTCTTTTGTTTTTTTGCGTTGTATAATACAGTCTAATCAACCTACTATCAGGTTATTAGGTAATAATAGTTATATATATAAAAAAAATACATTATTGCACCAATATAACCTTATTACAACTGAAGCACTGAGTTTTACCATATCGATTACTCTACTATTGCTGAACAGTTTTGCTTCATTGCTACTGAAGTATCTTTCATCAGTATTACTTTTTCTTTTTATCTCGCACTACACTATTGCAAAAAATTTCAGCCTTTATATTAGATTCATGAATCTGATTAATACTTTTTATGAATCACAGTCAGACAAGTACCGACTGTACATTCAGCTGCTCCCTTATTCACAAGGGCTTGCAGAATCAGGTAGCCTAATGTGTATATTATTTATTACCTCATTATTGTCAGTCCCTGTTATTTCCATGTTATTGCCAAACTGTAATATAATGTATCAACTGCTTGATATCTGCGTTCTGCGTCCCCAGTGACTGTTTCGGTGTGCTGGACTGCGAGTGGTGCATGGTGGACAGTGATGGGAAGACTCACCTCGACAAGCCTTACTGTGCCCTGCAGAAGGAGTGTTTCGGCGGCATTGTTGGTGCCAAAAGTCCCTATGCAGATGGCTTGGGGCTTATGGGTGAGTTCTTTACCCAAAGAAATTGAGATTTTTTTTTCCAATTTATTATATATGTCCTCTTTGGACCCTTGGCTTCATCAACATATTTATTAAATGTTTTAGAGTTGTAGATTGAGCCCACCATTATGAACCATTATGAGGCCTTTTTATTGAATACTCTGTAGAGCAACTTCATAGTGATGAAAAAAGCAACAGCACAAGAAGTCAAAGTTAAATCATTTCTTTCAGGTCCTTAAGACAACAGTTTTATTTAGATTTATATTTTTCCCTGAAACTTTTCCGTTGCCTGGTAATTTTCTTTGGAAAGAGAATTGGCCGTCTTCCTGCAGTTGAAGGCTTTTTCAGTGGTACTTCACACTGACGAGAGAATCGAAGCGAGGGAGAAAATGTACCAGCATCTCAGCAGGAGTGAGGATCTGAGCCCGAGCTGTTTGATACTGGCTTGTTGTATTGTCTCTCCTTGAGCCATCTGAAATCCTTTGTGACTTCTTTAAAAGAAAACCTTCTGTCTGTTCTCTCTTCTGCAGATGAGGAGGTAGCCTCTTTGAACATGATCAAGAGCGCCCCTGTGGGTCCAGTGGCTGGGGGCATTATGGGATGCATCATGGTGCTGGTGCTGGCTGTGTATGCATACAGACACCAGATTCACAGGCGCTCGCACCAGCACATGTCTCCGCTAGCTGCGCAGGGTAGGACTAATGCATAAATTCCCATATTTGTTTTGTCACGCACCTTTTGTGAAGCTGTGGAGAATCTCAGAGCTGTGAAAGTGCATCTGGTTGGCCTGTATTTGTAACACTGGAAAAAAAGTTACAAGAACTACAATGTTTGTTATGTTTATTTTAGTTTAAATGATGTCATTTCTTTAAAAAAAAAAAGAACAGACAAAAACACAGCCTTAAAGGAATGTGATTAACAAGCGCTACAGCAACTGGCGAGTGCCGCTGGAGCTAAACAGCTGACATTAGCATCAGCACAGCAGCAGCTGCTGCTTCTGTATGATTTGTGTAATTACACAGAAATATTGACAAAAACATCAAACAAGATTACAACCTCATTAAAGCTCCTCAGTCCAAGTCACTTTCAGTCTGGAAGTTTGGTAAACAACCTGGAATAGTGGAGAGTGTGGCTACGTTATCACGGGGTATTAGTCTGAGCATTTGGCTCATAGATTCAGAGTTACTCAGCTTTGTGTACTTAGGTGTCAGTGCTTTCACCAAAAACACATATACATGGAAATTTAAGCTGCAGCTTTTGGGGGTGCAGCCTAATGCCTACTGAATATCTACAGTTCCCACATGCACACACATTCATGTGTTTGTTTTCATCATTCTTACTCTTCTTCTTTTTCTCCACGTCGCTTCAGAAATGTCGGTGAGAATGTCCAACCTTGATAATGAAAGAGATGAGAGGGATGAAGACAGTCACGAGGACAGAGGAATCAGTGAGTGTTGTCTGATGTCGTACTGATCTACGCTATATTGCCAAAAGTATTCACTCATCCATCCAAATCATCTAATACAGGTGTTCCAGTCACTTCCATGGCCACAGGTGTATAAAATTAAGCACCTAGGCACACAGACTGCTTCTACAAACATTAGTGAAAGAATGGATTGCTCTCAGCAGTTCAGTGAATTCCAGTGTGCCACTGATAGGATGCCACATGTTTGATAAATCCAGTCCTCACTAGTAAATATTCCACAGTCAGCTGTTAGTGGTATTATAACACAGTGGAAGCAGCTGGGAACAACAGCCACAGTCAGCCACAAAATGGTGGAATCACAGAGCCTCAGATGCTAAGGTGCATAGTGCACAGAGGTCACCAACCTTCTGCAAAGTCTGGTACTACAGACCTCCAAACTTCATGTGATTAGCTCAAGGTTAGTTCATAGAGAGCTTCATTGAATGGACTTCCATGATGGAGCTGCATCCAAGCTTCACATCACCAAGCGTAATGCAAAGTGTCAGATGAAATGGTATAAAGCACGCCACCACAGGACTGCCAGAGGATTTGTTCTCTGGAGTGACAAATCACTCTTCTTCGTCTGGTGTGGGATTATTATCTAGTGAAAAGAACTCTTAATGCTTCAACATGCCAACACATTTTGGATAATTTCATGCTCCCAACTCTGCTCCCAATATGGAGATGGCCCACATGACTGTGCACCAGTGCACAAAGCAAGGTCCATAAAGACATGGATGAGCGGGTTTGGTGTGGAAGAACTTGACTGGCCTGCACAGAGTCCTGATCTTAACCCAACAGAACACCTTTGGGATGAATTTAAAGGGAGACTCTGAGCCAGGCCTTCTCGTCTGTCTTTCTGACCTCACAAATGGGCTTCTGGAAGAATAGTCAAAATTCTCAGAAAGATTCCTAAACCTTGTAAAAAGCCTTCCCAGAAGAGTTGAAGCTGTTAAGGGTGGGCCATCATCATATTAAACCCGATGAATTAGGGATGGGAGGTTCATATGCATGTGAAAGCAGATGAGCAAATACTTTTGGCTACATAGTGTATTGTATCATGAGCATTTTGTACATTTATGTAGAACCTTACTTTTTGACAGCACAGGTGCACATCTTCTTGACCCATTTGCTCTCTTTTATTTTCAGTCAGCAATACTCGATTCATAGCTGCAGTGATCGAGAGACACACTCACACTCCCGAGCGGAGACGGAGGTACTGGGGGCGGTCCGGGACAGAGAGTGACCATGGTAAGAGAACCATTTGGGCACGCAGAAACCTGGATATTTACGATGAAGCTGTGTGCAGCTGTGACAGCGCTGTATGTCAGTGCTGATGGAAAGCGGAACTGAGTCAGTCATACCTGAAATGTCAGCAATGCTGTGTCAAAACAAAACCACTGATTTAACTATTTCGAGAGTTCCTGATTCTTATAGTTGCAGTTTCAAGAAGGTTGGCGCAAAAAAGCCTAAATCGATCCCAGTCAAGTCATTATGGTGGCTGAGGAAGCCTGTAATGAGTGGGTGTTGATAATTTAAGTAATAGTTGCCTTAATTCTGTGTAAGTCTTGTATAACAACTCAGCCTAAATGAATGTTGTTTACGGAAAATGAATCATCCACTGGTTACAAAAGTGGACCATACTGTACTTTATAAAGTGTTACTCACATGAGTTTGCCTCCAGCAAAGATTATATTTATATTGCTATAGATGTACATTTTGAATATTGCTATAACATATAAATATTCATTTGCATGAATTGTCCAGGAAGTGAAGGGCAGACTGCATGCAAGCTCTGCTTCAGAGTAATCTGCCACTAAAGCTGCTTCTCCTTTGTGCTTAAAGGAGGAGGTTAGAGTTTAAGGGAACGATCAGGAGGTTTGCTGAACATAATCGTCTAGGAGAAAGACCCCCAGGGTCACAGAGGATCACAGTATCTCTGCTGACTTGGAAAAAGCTCAAGAGTTTGAAGATGTTGGATAAATATTGCCCATTAAAAGTCTGTCACAGTTGCCTGGGCTAAAAGCAGCGACGCAACATGAAATCAAGTTTGTACTTTATTGAATATAAAACCTTAAAATGATTCATTTTAGCTACATGGTGTCATAACAGATCTGCAGTTAGCTCTCAGTTCCTGCGCTTTGGAGCATCTCCTGGCTTGTTCTTTTTGTTATATCACAGTTCTGAACTGTGTTTTCTCTTATCTTTAGCTCTGGAAGAGCTGCTCATGTTCACTGTTAACGTTTGTAGAACTCGCAAGTCTGACGCTCAATGTGGATGGACAGTTTCACCCACATGGGCACTTACCACCTACATGTAGCATCACTCCACTTCCTGGCAGTGAGTGTCTCGGTTAGATGTTGCATAACTGATGATGCCAGAGAGAAGAGGGATGAATATGAAGAGAGGAGAGTGGGCTAAAATGTAACAGAACGAGCTTGTCTGCTGTGTGCTGCATACAGTATTGATTGTAGGAACAGTGGAATGTGGTTCTTTTTCTCTACTTCCACCTCTCTTTTTCAAGGATTAGATGTATTTATTTGATACAACATTTGATTATCATACTCTTGCCGTAAAGATTAGAGTGTAATGCAATGATGTAAACTGGCTAATACCACAAGCAGTCTTAATATTTTGTGCAGCTGAAGATGGGGAGGGTTTGTAAAATGAAACATGGAGAACAAGTGGGGAGATGCAAAAATGATGAAATAAGTAAAAAGCAAGGGCAAGAGGACAGGAAGAGAGAGGAAGATGAGTAAGAAATAATGGAAAGAGTGGGTGTTAGTCCATTAGCGAATATAACTTTACACATACACAAGCATTATTAGCTTCAAAGTTGCTGCTTGTCTCTCATCAGTCAAAGGTTCCTTCCCACCATTATTTAGTCACTCAGACTTGCACACAAGCCTATATACAGATCACCAAAAACAGACCATTAAATCTGCTGAATGACGCACAAACTCTGTTTGCTGTGTGGTCCGCTTTAAGGATAAGCTTCCAGGCAACAGTTCAAACCAGCCATTAAGGAACGTGTGCTGCATATAGCCATATAATCTCCAAGTTTAATCCACACACCTGGCAATTTTCAGTCTGTTTGTACTTCAAACATTTGAATGCTATGTAACCCAACAAACCTTTAGAACTAGAATAGGAATGTTTAACCTTTAAGAAAAGACAGAATGGCAGTGGCCCCATCCTGTATTAGGTATCGCGTATATAATTGTCGGCTGTTTACATTGATATTTATGTATAATCTACCTATAAATTATAAGACAAAAAAGCTTAATTACTAATGAATTACGACTAAATATGATTTTGAACAGTGTTTAAAAGTACATGTTTACCTGGTCACTGAAAGAGGGAAGGCCATGAGTTTTAAAATGTTGGTACAGGTCAGACACTTCACTTAACATTACTATTAATAATAATAATAGAGCATTTTAAGTAAGGATTAAACTATTAAAAAGTATTGTTTTGTAATAGTTTGAAATTTTGAATTTGCTTTCTAGCTAAGATCTAAAATTTAACTTTTGATTATATAGCTAGCAGCTAGTAGCTTAGCTTAAGTTAGCTAATCACTGCATACAGAAGTCTGGCACCAAACTCCCCATAAGACAAATCTGATTTTATTTTTGCAACTAGCTTTATAAGAAGCAGTGACCAAAAAAGGACAGCCATAATGGATTTTTTATTTTTATTTTTTATAAACTTTGGACGACACGAAGGCTAGTTGCTTTACTCTATATTGACGCTAAGCTAATTGGTTATTAGAGCTTTATTCTTAACATCCATGAGAGTGGTATCAATGTGTTTGTCTAATTCTCACCAAGAAAGCAAACAGGTTTGCCAAGTTTTTCACCTGTTTAAAGTTGTTAGAGGAAAAATTGCAGTTCTATCTTCAAGGCATAATAACATGGTAGTTTAGCTCGGCCTCCCTTCATCTCATGACATTAAGTAGGATTTGATATCCTCTACCTGGTGCAGCTGTAAATGGTCAGCAGTGCACAGTTGGTGGTAGATTTACCTGAAGCACTGGGTTATTGCTTTTGGGAAAACTGGGAAAAATTGTGACAAAGTTGGCACCTTCCATGTCTGGAACTTCTTTGTCTGTTGTCTTAGGCCAGCTAATCTTTGGAGGACCAGGAAAAGAACAGTATAAATAAACTTACATACAAGTCATTCCCTTACCTGAACCGGTTGTTGGTTATTGTTAAGAGGAAGATGAGAAACATCACCTTAATGCCACACTGGATTGATGCTGGAATTTGTTTTAAAGAAGATATAATAATTATAATAGTAATGATAACAGGTGTTATTTCAGGATATCTGGTTTTCATGAGCTATAATCCAAAATCATTAAACAAAAGACAGCTTGAAATATTTCACTTTATTTGTAATGATAATGATGTAATGATAAGAAGATATGAACGTTTGCATTAAATTATGAAAAAAACTTTTTAAAACTGCATTAGTAGAGTTCTAACATGACTGGTTTATTGTTTTGAGTGAAGTGCTTTTTAGCATCAGTAGGTTACCATTACTGTTGTGAGCAGCAGTAATTGTAGGCTTGGACCTGGGCTTTGGTATAGCAAATATTAAGCTGGATTGCTGCTGGAAAATATGAACCCAGCATCCCTGCAAAACTGATCGCTCTCTGATGGTTTAGATGTTCAAGTGTCAGATGTTTGTCAGATAGAAAATGGTTATTCTGACATAAATTTAACGCAGGGCCAGACCCGTAAACACACATACTTCTAACCCCACTGCCTGCAGCCCGCGTGCCACAGATGCGTTCGCATGTCTCTGGAGGTTTAATGTTTCATCATCCAAAATGACAGTGATTTTTCTATAAATATAATCATAGAGGCTCTCAGGCTTACAGGGTTATTTACTCAAACAGTAATAACAGATTGGTGTTCCACAGAGCAGCACGGCTGGTGTCTTTTCAGAAGCTGAAAAAGATGGAGATAAAGGACTAAGGAATGTGGATTTATTTTCACATAGACTCTTAAAAAAGCATTTTTATTCACACACTGTGTTTTTAGATGCTTTTTTATGGGCTTCAGGGTGGTGAAATCCACTTAGATTATAAATGGGATCTGCACTAACGTTTCCATTTAGGTGAAAAATCAGAAATAATTACTAAAGAGAATTTATTTTATAGAAATTGCCCAAAGTAGAAGCTTTGCTGGGCAGGATGCAAATAATTGCAGTCCACAATCTGTGAGAATCATTACACATTGACCTAACAACCAAAAGATCCCCGGTTTGATCCCAGGGAGGAGACGCAAATCATCTTTGGGGCAACTGGTCTAAACAATCTGCCCAATCAAACATGAAGAGCTGCCTGCTGTGACGACCCTTTATGAATAAACCCAAAGCTACAGTATATGGTAGCTTAAAGCAGTCAACAAGTGACCTCTGGAGTCGGTGCATTTCGGCCTGTCATGTACTTCTCATATGGTTTCTCAGTGACTGCACTTCCCTGTTACTAAGTTCAGTTAGCATTGTGCACCAGGAGCCATGTCGGCCCATTTTTCTGCCTCCTCGGGCTAAACGTGTGTGCGAGATGTGTAAGAATGAGATCATAAATATGCATGTCTTTTTTTTAAATTGTTATTATTTCAAACTGAGCTGAAAACATAAGGAGTAAAAAAAAAAAGCCCCTGGGGAATGTTTACTTGTTAATGTGCCATCAAATGCCACCAAATAGTGCCGTCAAATAGCTTGTACTGCACTCAGAAACATTATGAGCTGCCGTGTGCTCACGGGAACGTTTCTGTGCTGAATATTCACGATCATTAGTTAGCTGAGTTGTTACATTTTATGGTGCCTTCCCATTTCTATTAAAGCGGAGCGCAGGCGTCATTACCGACAGGTCCACATGTGCAGGGACTGTTTAGTTTTGCTTTGCCACGCTGCCTTCTTCATTTAGTTTCAAACTTTGAAACATATATTTAAGAATTTTTTGCTTAAGATTTTAAAATTGCCCAGTAGTTTTGAGGGAAAGGATTGTGAAATAACTCCATCCTCTGCACATCTTTTTGTGTCCAGGCTACAGCACCATGAGCCCGCAGGAGGACAGCGAGAATCCGCCTGGAAACAACGACCCGCTTTCGGCCGGCGTTGACGTTGGCAACCACGATGACGACCTGGACCTGGACACTCCCCCGCAGACAGCGGCATTGCTCAGCCACAAGTTCCACCCCTACCGGCACTCGCACGCGCACCACCACCCGCTGCACACGCATACGCACCACCTGCAAGCGGCGGTGACGGTGCATAGCGTGGACGCAGAGTGCTGATCCTCCTGAAAGGACCGGAACTGTTCTTTTGTTTTGTTTTTGTTTTTTATTAAACATAAAAAAAGACAGTGGTGTGTAAGTAGAGAGCACACACAGTTGGAGGGAGACGCCACAGGTAGACTTAGTGACGCTTCAAGATCTCATTGTGCCATCATCTCAGTCTTGAGCCCTCTTTCATTTAACCACATTTAAAAGCGGACACGTGTATGCGGCCGCACTTGGGCCAGTGGATGTAACCAAGTGGGACTTCCTGTTATTTTTCTGAAGGACTCGAGATTAAGAGCACGTAACAGCCTTCAGACGCATACAGAAAAGCTGCGTGAGCCCATTTTTTGGCTTTCACTGAGGACGGGACACAACTGGAAGCTAAAAGCCTTCTTGGGGGAGGTCAAAGATTGTTATTATTCTCCAGGACCAGTGGATTTTTACAGTACAAGCACTCATGTCGGACCCCTTTTTAAAACAGGGCTAAATCCCGAACTCCACACAGGTTGGAACATTTATGGAAACTGTGGGACATCTCTGAAGGGGAGTGAAAATACTGCATTTTTGAAAAGTGAACTGGATCTAGTGAGATTCTAAAACAGCCTCTATTTCAACTTTACTCTCCATGAAGAAGCTCTGGAGTTTGTTTTATTCTTTTTTTCTTTGTTTTCTCTGAAAAGCAGCTGCCTTTATCCAAAGCAGTGGCTGCTGGTCTGACACACAGCAGTGTGGCACGATATCTGGACTTTTCCATGAATGTTTGTGAACTTCAAAGTAGGAAGAAAAGGCTTCAATATTCACAGAAACGCAAGAAGAAACACTTTAAAGAGGAAAATATTATTTTTCTACTATTTATTAAAGGTAGATTTTCAAGAGAGGAAAGCAGCGCAAATATGACAGCAGTCGGGGTGCATCAGACACACCGGCCCACTTCCTGCAACCAGTGCATTAATTTTTGGGACTCATTATTTTTCTGTTTTGTTTTTTTTTTCCTTGCTTAAAATATCTGTGAATTTATTTTTGAATTTTAAGAATATCAGTACTATAACAGGGATTATTCTCATTTCTTTTTTTACCTGACCGAGGGATTCCAGTGCAGCTCGTTTGCATTTTCTTTTAAATGTTCTGTTTACTTTCTTTCAGCAGGAGCATAATTGAATAATCTCCTTTGGATCCCCATTTCTAAGTGCACTCAGCGGTCAGTCCATGAGGTACACTGGTCCAGGCACAACAGTCCTGCTGTAAATTCGACTTTTATGACACTTCATTTCACTGTTCATTTGATTCTGTTTCTCCATGCTGAGGTCAAAGGTGACATTTCCCCCCTCATGTACACAAGTAGGAAAACACTTCTTACTCTAGAGCCTTACCTTTTATGATGAAAGTATTTTCTTTATGAAAGCATCACCAATATTTACAGCTTTTTAAAGATCAGTGTTAAAGCAGGGCTGTTGTGTTGAATTGCACCATCTTGTTCTGGCGTACCTTAAAGCGGCCTCCCAGTAGGGAGATCTGCTCCTGTTCAGACTTGCTGGAAAACATCCTCTTTGTGATCTCGTCATGTTTTCGAGAGGTAGAACTTCTGTATTCGCTGCCCTTTTTTTGAGCCTCCTGGGGACTGGGCGAGGATGACACCAGCGCATAAAAAAGAAACCATAACCAAAAGAAAAACAGAAGAATAGACAATCCCTGGCTTTCGTCACTGCTGGGAATTTGGTGTGTGAGGATTAGCAGAGACCCTCACAGAGAATGAGTGCTGTCCACTCTGTCTGCCTGAATAAGAAAAACCAGTACAGAGTGCTTCTTGTTTTATCACAACCTTTCACTTTTGAGGCTAAGCTAATGCTCTGGGTGTGTGTCTGTTAGGGTTGTGCGGATTTTTATACAAAACGGAATTAAATTTCCACCCAAGATAACCAAGATGGAAGTCTCCTCGTCAAAGAGGGAAAAGGAGATGCTGCTGCTGTTTTACAGAGGTTACACCCCATCAGTTGGCTCCTCTGTGGTTAACCACTCAAAAATGTATTTTTTACAGAGTGAGTGTGTGTTTGTGTTGGAGAGAGCGTGTGTGTGTGTGTGTGTGTGTGTGTGTGTGTGTGTGTGTGTGTGTGTGTG